CTCAACCTGCACTAAGCAATGTTTTTGTGTTGTGGCTTTTTTCATATTTTATATGCGGCTGGGACGACGAGTGGAAAACAAACCGAAAACTCTGGAATAAAATGGGCAGTCCGACTCCGACTCCGCATCCGAATCCGAGTCCGAGTCCGACTCCGAGTCCATGTCAATTTGCTTGAAGTGCTCCGTTGAAAAGCTGACAAAGCCAATGCCAATGCGCTGCAAATTAAAATTACCCAGCCGTTGGGCGAGACATTAAGCGAGTGGCGTAATGAAATGGCTTTCTGGTCTAAGCCATGGCACAAACGAAAGGGCCACCCATCCGGAGATTCTAATGAAGTTCCCCTTCATGAAGAAGCCAGAGACCAGAGAGGAAGAGACTACTCTGGACCCGGCAAACAGACAGTCAGACAGCCGGACCATCGGACGGAGAGAGGAGTCACTTTATTTTATTAGAAACTTGTTTGCGAAGCATTTGCACACAAATTAAATATGGTCCGCTGCCACAGTCTGGCAAAGTGGTTTCTTCTGCTCCTCAAATTACCACTCGCTTCGAATTCAATCACGGCAGTTAGCAGCGAGAAGCAAAAGTCTGAGAGCTGAACAGCCTAACTTTGCAGACACGTTAATCGAGACAACACAATTTCTTCATTTGGCCAGGAACTTTTTAATATGGGCCTAGTCGACGATGATTACTCCAAAAAAAGAATTCTACCCCGATTCGGGCAACAAGTTCTTGAAGCTTTTAGGACCTTCAGCATTGTGTGCAGCCTTTTTCCTGCCACACATGCTGTAGATGGGCCATAAGCGGCACATTGCCCCAGGCTCTGCGTTTGAGTATTATTCCATTTCTGGCATTAAATGCTGCAATAAACCGAGAGCGGTTACACAGAAAAGGGGGAGCCTTTCGCCCTCGGCCCTGTGACTAATGTTGCACAGAAAAAAAATGCCATAAATGCTAGTAGAATTATTTGAAATATTTTTCAATCAAAAAAACAATAAAATACTGTAAATAAAGCAAAGCCTCAAGCAAAAAAAACTCAACATGTAACAAAATAATTGCTTGGCAGAACCAAACAGAAAGAAAAGGTTTTTTATAAAAATAACTAGTTTTTGTTACATCAATATGCATAAAAACCCTATTGATATAATTAATATTAATTAACAATTAACATTTTAATTCATGTTTTGTTTATCTTCAGATTGAAACAAACTCTTTTTTTTCTTGTGCAATATTGTGACATGTATGGCAATAAAATTTCACTTCTTACAGAATTCAAGCACTCAACCCCCGGCCACCCCATGACCTTTAGTGGATTTGTGGGGCTTGGCTTTATGTTTATGATTTAATTGTCAATAAAATAATCATTTGCAAGCCTTTTGCCACTGCAACCGCAGAACGTGCCAACCAGATTCGAAGCAAATTTTTACCAATAAAGGCATATGGCAGAGGAGAAAGCCACAGGCGGCTTCAACATTCATGTGGTAGAATCGGGCCAAAAATAACCAGGCTAAAACCGATGGGGGGCCACAGGAACTGAGAGCCCTGGCTGGCACTTAAGTTATTGACGAGATAAAGTTGAGGATTTTGTGTGCATTTTTGTGAAGTGCCAGACGAAGCCCATAATGACGGAGCTCGAGAGGAACAGGGAGCAGGATGTGGTTAGGGATATGAAGCGGGATAGCTGGAGCTGGAGCTGGAGCTGAAGATGATGATGGCGTTGACGTTGATGTTGTCGACAGTTTTGATGCCTGTCCGGGCCCAGGCTCACGTAGAGAGATGAAGCAATATGTGCCCAGGACGACGGCTTTGAGGGTCTCTCTCCGAGGAGCAGGGTGACTGAGTGAATGTGTGTCCTGGCAGGTCTAGTTTGTTTGCTCAAATGCTGCTCCTTTGCTCATGACACCAGAAGCAGGACAACGGCAAAATCAAACAACACAAAAAATGTATGGAAGGCGGCCAGGGAAACCAATAAAAAGCCATGAGAAACGGAGGCGGAAAAGAAAACATTGTGGCCAAGCAACAATGCCAGCCCCACACCCACGATAACACACACAGAGAAATATTATCAGTATTATGTTGTCTCTTCTACATACAGATTAAAGATACAATCTAATTGTAGGAGTTTGAGCCAAAAAGGCATAAATCAAAATATTTACAGAGGAAAGAAGATCATGAAGTGGCTTTAAGGTAAGTTTTGAACTTGGCTTTAAATTGATACCCTTACCGGTGTTTTCTCGGTGTACATGTAGGCATCGCCTCATCGATTTTCACTTGAGTTGCGAACGCGAGTCCTCCGGAGCGAATTCTCCGGAGCCGCACAAACAAATGCGCGTAAATTTTGCTTAGCGCGCAATTCAAGTGCAAATACTTGACACCGCCGCACCTAAGCCTGGGCCAAATGGGAAAAATCGGAAGGGTAGACCGGGACCGGGAAGGAGGGTCTGTTGATGGATGAAAGTTAAGGGATGAAGAGTCACCCACTCAGTCTCATCGAATGCCATCAACTTGTAGGCGCACTGCCTCGAGAGTCACTTGAATACGTTCTCGGCCCCCGTCTTCGACCTCGTCCCCATCCACGTCACACATCAATATCCTTTTTGTGGTTCTTTTTGTTTTGGATATCCCCTAGACCCCCCACAAAAAAATTGGCAACTTTTCCGGCTCAGTTGCCACCGGCATCTCGTCCCTCTGCGTTATCCTTCCTCATCGGCTTTGTTTAACCAACGAAGTTCTGTAGTGCCGCCTGTTGGCCGATGTCTGATTTATTTGCATTTAGTTTGCGGTCTATGCAGTTAATAAATTTCACTTACCCGCCCAAACATGTGTACCCAACTATAGGGAGGGGGAACTTCAACTTTTCTCCAACAGATATGTGTGGAGCATCGAAAGTTTTGGGTTAAAGTTTTGTTGCGGCAAGTTTGGAGCTACCTCCGTATACCTATGTCAAATTGATTAGTTGAGTCGGACAGTTGAATCCGAGAACTGAGACCCAAAATCCAAATAAGTTGCTATCTGCATGGGGGCCCTCGGGGGCGATGCAGATAATTTGATTGTGTGATTTATGTCACAATATATATTCAACATTAATGAAGATGAAGGAGATTGTTTGGCAGTGGCAGCTGGCAGTGGAAACGCTATCTGTCCATTCACAAAACGATTTGCACTCCATTAATTGTGGGAATATGCTGTGCGCTATGAAATAAAAGCAAAGCCAACGACGAATTGACTGCAGCCGTCAGCCAACCGCAAATGCAAATACATATAGCAAAAAAAAAAACAGACTGGGATGTCTGTTAACTGGAGTACAAAACCCCACTAATTGTTACTGACACTCGCAGTAGTCAGAGTTTCTGCAATTGAAAAACAGCATCAGCCGGAGCCACAGAGGATAGAGGGGCTAGGGCGGTTCTTGGAAACGCTAGACAAAGTAAAGTTATTTGCGGTTCATTATTCACTTTTTGGATTTTATTTCCTTGCGGTTCCGGTCCGGGCACGATCGAAGACAGTGATGGACAGCAGATTGAAGTTCCTCGCAACACGTTGCTCTGTTGCCTCCGAAAATGCCAAAGCTGCATGCAAAATGACCTGACAATGGAGTGGATTCAGATTCGAATACTGAATGAAGGATGCAGGATGCTGGGGTAGGGTAGGGGTAAAGAGTAGGGAGGGGACAGGGTACCACTACCAGGACCAACGCCAAGGCGAGACGTCGTTTAAATTGGGAAATTTTGCTTCGCTGCATTCAAAGCAGGGGCATCCGAGGAGCATTTTTGCTCTTTGCTTATTCATCTAGCAAGTTGAAAAATAAATTAATAATGCGTTCTTGCCACTGACGGCAGCTGCAACCGCACAAGGAGCTCTGGCTAGGGGTACGGGGACAAGGAAACTGAGACACTTTCCAGGGACTTGGCAAAATTCGTGCTGAGCTTTTTTTTTCCGCGCTCACTTTTTCGTTTTTCTTTTTTTTTTATAAAAGTCTATATGTATGAAGTTTATATCTGACTCGACTTTGCTGTGCGAGACCCGCATTCGTCTCCGGGTCCATGACCACGTCCATCTACATCTCCGCAACCGTTCTCCTTGTTTTTTTGGGTTGGCTCGCCCTCGCAGTTCCGACACCCCTGGCCCTAAAATTTAATTGCATCTTTTTCAACAATTCTAGCACGAAATGAAAATTCATGCAAACGTTGGCAGATAAAAACGGAATCCCTAACCAGGACATCCGCCGCTTCTGCCACACAAAAGAAGACCGAATGGCCAGAGGAATTTAAGCTTTCAGTTTAGTTCAGTCAAGATATGAATACTAATAGCCACTGGAATGTTTGAGTAGCCAAAGGACATTGCACTGTCAAGGCACTCTCTGGTGCATCCCAAGACACTGGCCGTTCATCCCAAGACCCCTCGCCGGCTGGGCGATGCTTTTTGCTGGCAATGTCATTACTCTTATTTGATTCCGTGGACATTCGCATAAATGTCAGATTGAGTTTATGCACAGGGAAAAGTTCTTGAGTCCTTGAAATGCACCCACTGCCGGGCATTTAAATGCAAAAGCCTGGCGGGACTGGGCCCAGGACCTGGTCGGGACACAAAACGAAGCGAAGAAAAGCAATTAGCGAAATTAATTGCTCAAGTTTCGCTTTGAAATATTCATCCGTGAGATTAATTCGCCGGCCGACAAAGCTCCGTCATCGGGTGTGCCCCCAACGCCCCGCGAGCCTACTTGCCGGCCACCTCTAACCTCCGAGTTTCATTCCGCAATTTGTGGCTTCGTCAATTCAATGGCTTTGCGGCCGCGGCCCGTTGATTGACTTGACTTGGCCCTTTCTTGCACGCGATTGAATTTGCAATTGCCAGGGGATGTGGAGGTGTGTTGCCAACTCTTGCGGATTACAAACAGATCAGATAGTCGGGACAGACAGGTGAAGCTTACAATAGAAATATCCAAGAAAATATTCAAATTCTGAGGGCTTGTTCAAGATGGAAAAGTGGGTCAACTTACCGTTTTCGAAAAGCAGAGACACCATTGAGATGGCCAGGAGCAGGCTGGTGTGGAGGCTCCTCAGGTTTTTCCGATCCTGGATATGTCTTGGATGGCTAATTGTCCTTCCCTCTTTGGCCATTTTGTTGGTGTTGCTGTTGTTGCTGGTGGAGCACTTGAATATATAAGCAATGCTGCTGCTGGAGGTGCTACTTCTGTTGTGGCTGCTACTTCTGGTGGCCGGCTTAGTCAGGTGCATTGAATTAATTATTTCATTGCTGCACACGAATTTGCAGGCCGCAGATTGTGTTGCGAGAAAGTGGAGCCGCTCCTCGACGTCTTTGGCGACTGCTGCAGCACTTACGGAATTTTAATTATTCAAAATAGGTTTTTAGCACAGCAGGCAGGATACAGAGGGGCTCGGTTCCTTCGGATCGTGCTTCGTGTGGGATGGGGGCTGCACTGCTTTAATTGCTTGTTTTGCTGCAATGCATTTTCCTGGGGCGTTGCAAATTTATAGCTGCAAAATACAAGGAAAACGATATGCGTTACTTTTCTGCATGACCACAAAATGGGAGACCCAAAGAGTCCTGTGTCCCATGTCCTATGTGTTTTTTGTGCTTTTCTGGTGTGTTCTGGTGTCCTAGTGTGTTGGTTTGTCAGATTGTTGGTGTCCTGTGTAATGCAGCTAAGCCGCCGTGCCCAAATACATAATTCCTATGCAAATAAGCGTGGCCCCGCACTGAAATTTATGTGCGCACAGCGTTTTGCATATCTGCACACAGAATAGAGGCGACCAAACAGAGATATATCCTTACACCGAAAACTGTAGGAATTAATACAAAAATGAACTTTGAAGTTAGCTTAGAGCATGCTTCAATAACTCTACACAAGGGAAATTGAATTAAAACCTTCCTCTAATAGGTTTATATTTTGTAAAATTTATTTTAAACAAGCTGTCACTTAAGGTACATTTTTGTAATCGAATTAGGCTTTAAAATCAACCATTTTTACCATTTATGCTTTAATAAAATATTAATATTAAAGTTTCTTGTTTCTTGTCAAAAACTATTATTTTTACTGTGTGTTCAGTATACATTGCTATATATTCGAAAGACTCTTCTCTGACTTTTTTCCCACAGGCGAATAAAACTCAAGCAGAGCGTAAAAAAATATAAACGACGGCAGGCAGGCCGGCTGGATGGCAGGATGGTAGGCAGTCAGGCAAAAACAAAATGCCAGCGCAGGACAAGCTGCCAAATTAACAGAAATTTGGATCGCAGCCCCAGCTTTTAGTCTCCGCAGGATAGTGCACAGGACCCTGCTGCACCCCAGCTCCTCGTCGAGTGACATGAAGCCAACTGAAATAATCCCGCAAAATATTGTGTGCGCATTTTGGATTTGTTGTCTTTGATTTGGCGCGGTTTTCCGCTATTTGTACGAATGCCACAAAGATTGTGAGTGTGTGCCACGTTTTTTATCCGGGATTTTTTTATATTTAACATATAAACACACATATCCACATATATATTGCAATTTCTCTACTTAACATGTTTTGGCAGTTGCGCAGGCTGGTGGCCGCAGGATGGAGGACAATGAGGCCGAATGCCTGCTCTGCCAATATGAGGCTCATAAACAATTCTATTAAAATAAATGTAGCATATTTATAGGGACACACACAGAGAGCAGCGGCAAAGTGAAAGCAAAAGCAACTTAAATGCTTTATAAATCGACTCGAATTTGTTTTCCTTTCTGCGCGAGTCCCGTCTAAGATCCCATAGGTAACAAAGGACCACGATAGAGTCAGAAGCAACAAATTTTGATGAAAGGCAACAAAAAAATATTGATAAACTGGCCAAAAGAAAAGGGGGGGTGCCCAGGCGGAGGCGGGCAGAAATATGATTGATTTTATGTGTTCGGGCCAAGACAAAAAGGACGAAAGACGGAAGCATGATGATGATGATGTTGATGGGGGAGAGCGACCGGACCGTACCAGAGCAATGAGTGACCGCTCTAGCAACCGGCTATCGCAGGAAATACGCAAAAATACGCAAGGATATTACGTACCCAAAGCAATATGAGTGTACGACTTTTATGCGCAGGACACAGATATCTGGATCTGGAGCCAAAAACCCACGAAATGAAAATCGAATACCAAGCCGCAGAGCAACCAACAAGAAAACCACACGCACGCACTCTCATATCCTTGGAGCGGTGAGTGGCAGGGGGTGCGTACCAGAAAATTTGTGTATTTGCCATAAAATAATTTATCAATTGGAAAATTTTCAAACAGTCAACCATAAGGGGGGCAGGATGGGGAGACGGATGCCTTGAAAGGGCTGCAAAGGGGAGACGAAAAGGCCATGGAACTCGAGAATGTGTGTGCGAGGAAAAATTCCCAAGTATTTTGCTATCGCCGCCCTCCATCTCCCTCAGCCAGCCAGGAGTATTTGTGTGTCCGGGTGTGTGTATTTGAGGGTAAAATTATGACAGGAGGAAATAAAAAAGCATAAATTTATTACCGAGCCGAGGACGATGACTACTAAAACTTGGCCACAGGCCCGTGGGGAGCACTCGCTGCAAAGTAAAGATCATAAATAATCGAAAGGGCGACAATATTGGCGCAGGACAATGACAACGAGAGGGGCCGGTAAAGGATGGGCGGATGAGCGGATGGACGGGGACCACGGCAAGTACTATGACGTTTTGTGGAGCATATAAATATCTTTCGATTCGATTTGCTCAATGGCTGAATTAAAGAGGTTTCTCCACCGCCGTCACCACCCCAGCCAAGGCTACCCACTCCAAAAAAGGACCTCGGAAAAGCAAAGGCAAAATAATTGTACAACAATTTGCTGTAACAAGGATATCAAATTTGCACAAGCTGAAACCAAAGAGAGACAGCGCCGGCGAACACAACACAGAAAAAAAATGAAAACACAAAAAAAATAAAAAGGATAACGAGCACAATAAAAGAAATGAAATCGTAGCCCCCGAAACGGTTACTAATTGGACAAAGCAGCCGAAAAATGAAAGCCAAGCAACAAGAGGATATACGCGCGAAGGATTCCCCATCCCAGCAGCAGCAACGACCGCCGTGTGTGACCCAAAAGCCAAATCTGCCTGCTGTCCTTTCTTCGCTCCTTTTTACTTTTGCTATTCAAATGCACCCAGGCAGGACACAGACACAGAGCTGGGGGAAAAAAGCTCAAATGAAATAAAAGAGATTGGCTTAGTTAGGTCTAATTTCGGTGGCAGACAAAGTGCTTAAAAAATAATTACACGCTGGCAATCAGCAAGTTGCGCTGGCACAGGAAACAGGAAACGCCGGACACGCGACGTCATTCCTCCGTTCGTATGTCCCTCGCTGTCTGCGTGTCCGCTTGTCCGCCTGTCCACTTGTCCGCCTGCCCGTTTTCAGTAACCTTCCGGTGGTTCGGCCCTTATGGTCATTCGGTGGTGCAGGCTAGTGGTGCTACTCGTTAGCAATTGACCGCTTGCCGGCACGTCAAATTCAATTTAGTTGCTGGGCCCCCAAAAACGGCATGCCGCAAATTCGCCAACTTACAAGTAATTAGGCAGCTCAGCTGCATTTGACCACGCCCCCGCCCACAAGGCTGCCAAAGGCCATCCGGACACAAAAACACGTTTTTGTACAGTGAGAAAAAAGGCCCTAGTTTAGTGTCAACCTCTTAAGAATCTTAAGCTGGAAGTCATTACAAAATAAACAATAGAAATGATGATTTCTGTTATAATTATCTTTGTGTTTAAAGCTTAGATTTCCCTATTTTTTCTGTGCATACACTGCACCTACACAAACAGGACACCAAGGACATCGGGGACAACGAGGACACGCGTCGTCAGCTGCTTTGCGTGGACGATGGCATCGTTTGCTTGATTGTCATCGCCGCAGTGTGGGTATTGGTGTGGATGTCATTGTAGTTGCCGTTGCCGTTGCTGTCCTTGTAGTTGTTGCAGCAGTTTCAGTTGTCGTTGGCTAATTGCACATTGTCCGGAGATGGAAGCTGGATGCTGCGAGCTTTCTTTGCGGGTCTCTGTCGCCTTTTTACGTGTTTGACATGCACTTCAGTAAGGGTAATTACCAATTTGCGGCGCCAATTCGGCTGCCCATATCCGCCAGCGCAGCCAGCAAAATTTAATTAGTTTGCCATCCAAATGCTCTGACCCCGGTATCTATATCTTTAGCTGTCGCTACATCCGCATGATGGCAAAGGCAAATGAAACTGTCGCAACAAGGAAAAGCAACAGGATTCGAGCTGAGAAAAGACACAACAAAAAACACTCGATGGCCGGCCGCAGGCGTCGCGCAATTATGAACAATCGCGGCAGCTATCCTTTGACCCTTTGTAATCTCCTTAATGGCAGGACATTGACGATGGCACAACCGTAACGGCGGCCGGAAGAAAAAAATGTCGCAGTTACTGTGTTTCTGTGCAAAAATAAAAGCCGTTCGGTGGCCCAGTTTAATTTACTTCAAGTGGCCGTCAATTAATTTAATTTAAGCCGTTCGCACAAAGCATGATTACACTTTGACACTTTGACAACGACAGGCCATGGGATTTTCAGGCACAAAAACGGCAAAAGGACGAGAAACAGAAACAGGCCCGTAGGGTTAGCCCAACCGATAAGCGGGTATCCAAAAGTTGCCAGGACAATCGATGTCCAGCCCCCTACAGCCCTTTCCCGCTGGCCCTATTGTAGCTCACAACTTTAATTAAAGGAAATTGTGGCTGCACTCTGAATTATGCACAATTTTTAAGGTACCCATCATGTTAAAGTGTTAACTGCTATCGAGGACTGCATACTCCACAGAAAATAAATCATAAAATTTTTGAATATTTTAAACTAAAGTCCAGATTAACTTATCAAGTATTTCTAAGAAATCTATGAAAAATGTATTTAAAAACATTTCCATGTTCGATTTTTTGATTCTGCATAGTTTACTTTTTCTCCGTGCAGAAACAGGAGCCAGATGCTGTATTTGATTTCAAGGACACTCGATGGGCAGCTGGCCATGGTCCTGCTCATCCTGGCTGCTGCTAGCTGGTAGCCGGAAGTGCTCTTCACAGTTTATAGATCCAAGTGGCAGTTGGCAAGTGCAAGTGGAAATTCTTGAGCACTCTCAGCCCTCCAACTGATTACGGTTTGTTTTCCATGCAAGCAACTTTATACAGACATCAGGATATAGGGAAGGATATATGTATGTATGTATGCATGGTGCGAACGCTAAAATGATTATGTTGAGAGTTTATGAAACAAACGAGGAGGCTTTTTAATTGGTACAAAAGGAAATCGCCTGGAAGTTTAATGAAAATTTGATTAAACATCTAATTGATTGGCGGTCTAGCGTGCAGCAATTGATTTTTGTCCGGTGAGAGAGGGCATTTTTAATTTGATTAAACTCAAGACGCTGCAAATATTTAACGCTAATTAAACTCGACGGCCAACAGAAGCCATTCAATGGACATGCCAAGGACTAATTAAGATTTTGTCAATTAC